ACATCACTACACCTAGATTTTTACATGGGTTGAGGGATAAAACTCAGGTCTTCATGTTTGCAAAACAAGCACTTTACCGCATACCACACACATGTATGCACATATGCACAGACATATTTTTTCTTGTTTTGAGGTTTTGTAGCACAGATCACACTGTGGTGAAAATAGCCTTGCTCTCTAACCTTGAAAAACATGTCTTCTTTCTATTTAGATTGACGATGGTGGAATTGGCAGTTTGGAAGGTATGAACTTGCCAGAGGCTTTTGACACTTGTTGCCAAGTTCCTTTGCGGACAGTCTGTTCTACACTGCCCCGAAGTTAGGACAGGAAAACATCTCTATCATAGTGGGGCCACCAGTCATCTCTGTTACCAGCATCTGGCACAACGGTGCCCAGGAAGGCTTTAGTATTACTTCCCTGCCAGTATCAACTATTATTCTAGAACCTCAGCCAATCTGGTAGGCTGAATTTAACCCACAGGTGAATTTGCATTTATTGAGGATGCATTTAAAATATGTTTATTAGTGGACTCATGTGAAATTGTCCTTTATGTCTCTCCCCCTTTCCATTATGTGTTCACATGGGAATTTTTTTGTTTTGTTGTTTTTCGAGACAGGGTTTCTCTGTGTAGCTTTGGAGCCTGTCCTGGAACTAGCTCTTACAGACCAGGCTGGTCTCGAATTCACAAAGATCTGCCTGCCTCTTCCTCCCAAATGCTGGGATTAAAGGCATACGCCACCACCACCTGGTCACTTGGGAATTTTTTTAAAACTTGGTTTCTCAGAGCTTCTGTGTATTACCTTGGTCACACTTGTCCAAACCTCTCCCCAAGATGGTTCAAGTCATTGGCTCATACTCTAGTCTATATAAGAACATGAGAAAAGGAACTAAGGGGACACTATAATTGGGGTATGATAAGGAGCCCCACTATAATAGAAAGCTGGGAAAAAAATCCCCTGTGGATCCCCACATAAAAGATGACATACCCTGGGTAGAGATGGAGGCCTATGCAAACTCTATGCCTCATGCATGGAGAACCCCATGTTTCATATCGTATCTTAAGGTTCATTGACATTGGCAATGACCACTGGAGAGAAGGCAGGTAGAGCTAGTGATCATTGTGTGCCTTCTATATGAGCCTACTGTGTGTAACACTTGTCTCTGTTTTATTTCATGTAGTCATTGTAACAATGCAGTAAAATAGGCTTCTTCACCTTTATTTCAAGATGAGAAGGCTGCAGTTTGGAGGGGCTATGTAACCACCCAGGACCCCACTGCTCTGAGGCTTATGCCCTCCCCTTCCCTCCTGGAGGCACTCTGTCAATGGGCCCCTGAGGATGCATCGCCATTGCAGGTTCAGCTGTACCCCAGCTGCCCCTAATAGCAAGCATCCGCAGGTTCCTCTGTAAGTGTTCATCACCATGTTTAAAAACATGTCTCATTTAAGTAGGAAGGTTGCTGTACTCGGTCAATATCAAGGGGTGACGCCCATGGTTTCTCTCACGGAGGCTGGCGCTGCTGCAGGAGAGGGTGGCAGGGTCAGCTGACGGCACCATGTGGGCCTTTGATGCCAGCTCAGGCCTGCACCTCGGAGAGGAAGGCCCCACTAAGTGACTGCTTTGAAATGAAGCCGGCTTTCATTCTGAAGCTATTTCTCTCATATTAAAAGATCGTGCTGGTGTGGGTGCCCTGGATCACAAGTGGAAAGCTCCCCGAGGGCGGTGATCAGTCTGCCACCCATGGATGTCGGTCTTCCTCTTCTGATGGATGTGTGGGCACTATAGCTGGGAGGTGGGGGGAGGGGGACGGACCTCCCCAGAATTGCAGGCTGGGTCTGCACCTCCCCCCAGCCCAGAGCTTACTCAAAATCATGCAGTCATTCTCATGGTGTAATGGGAGAAAGGAGTAAAAGATCAACTCCACCCACTCCTCTTCCCACCAGACTCCTGGAGAAAATAAATGTGTGGTTAAATAGTTTGCTGTTTGAACCTTCCAAGGGCTTCATTGAAAAGACAACTCTCCATTTCCTAAAGTCAAAGATGGTTGAAAAGTCAACAGTAATCCACAAGGAACTAGCACATGTCAATCCTCCCTGAGGACCGAGGTGGCAGCCACCATCCTTACCTGCTCCCAGGAGTGCCTTTGCTGACAGCTGTGGTTTCTGTCTGCTTCTCTCTCCAGATGCTCTTGGGCTGTGCATTTCCGGGCTCACTGTCAGTCTCCCCAGGTTTGGCCTCCTCTTCCTTGATAAAATCTTTGGTGCCTGTGCCACTGAAAGGTGCAAAAGCTTTTCAATAACTATATATATATATTATGAAAACACTTTCTGTATAAAAATATATCATCAAAGAAGGTAGAAGGTGATATGTGTGTGGGGGTTGTGAGGGCAGAGATTTAAAAGCATTGAGCCAATTAGGTCAGGGGAGAGAGGGGCTTGAAATCTAGTTTGATCGCTTTGTAGCCATGAAAGCTTGGGCACATCTCTCCAACCCCAGTCTCCTACCCATAATAAGGAAATAGTATGACTACTTCACAAGGCTGCACAAGCACCTCGATTCCTGCAGCAGGTGTGGGGTGGGATGGGGGTGCAAGGGATCCTTTACCATTAGAAAAAAAAAACAAACAAAAAACTCGTGTGTATGTGTCTTTGTGGCACCGTGGAGGCTAAAGAAGATGTCAGATTCCCTGGCGCTGGTGTTACAGGTGTTTGTGAGCCACTTGGTGTGGCTGCTGGGAATCAAACTTGTGTCCTCTGGGAGATCACCAAGTGTTCTTAAAGCTGAGCCATCTCTCCGGCTCCTCTTTCCTTTTACTCTAGTTATATTTCCCTATCTATAGGAGACACTGTTGCTGCTGCTGCTGCTGAGAAGGCTCTTGGGGCACACTGGGTTATGCCTCCCCCAGAACTCATTACTGTTTGAATCTTGACATATTTTGTACCTGTGTACCTCCAACCACTGGCTATATATTAGCATCAAACATGGCCTGGGAAAGGTCCGAAGCACCTGGGAACGCCTACCTTTTTCCTTGTGTCTGCCCACCCACCTCCCTGGAAGACACTGACCACAGTGCACCAAGTTCCCAGTGAACGTTTTCTCCTAATTCTCATTTGGAATCAGGCTTCTGATTGGCACGAATGGCACCGAGTTTCTTCACAAGTATTCGGTCAGCATCAGCGCAAGCGGATGTGGGGAGAGTTTCTTATTTTCCAAGCATCTCTACAAGTTCTTGGTTTCACACAGCCGTTAAATCAACATCTATGCTACACCCCCAAGAGAATTGTCCTGGCTCATCCCCCTTTTGAAGATTCAGACATTTCACAGCAGTCAGCATAGGGGTGAGGCTGGGATGAACCTCTGCCTGGTGTGTGTGAGCCCAGGCTTTCTTGGCACATGAAGAAAACTGGATTTACGTTCCTGAGTATAGTCTGTGGTTATGTGAATAGTTTCCACCCAGACTCAGGGAGGCACGAAAGTTCTCCCTGGCATCCCGTGTAAGGCAATGTACTCCAGTGAGCAGGCCAACTGATTTCTTTCTGCCTGGCCTCAGGAAGAGGTGACAGTGGGTTCTGGGCTTTGAGACAGAAGCCCGTGCCCCTTGGGGAACTCACTAGAAGAAGAGAGCTGATGGAGGCATAGGTCAGCTTAGGGCAAACAGCTGCTGTGGCTGTAGCCAGAGAAGAGTAGAAGCTCTCTAGAAATGAGAGTGTATCCCTTGAAGAGTGTGGGTTGCAGGGGGAGCTGCTGAGACATGATTTCTCTAAGAGGGAAGCAGGGGAGGATGGCGCAAGGGAGAATCAGCCGCCTGAGGTGGGGTTTCTCAGCACCCAGAGGTGTGCTGGTTGAAGCCAGAGGATTCTCAGTCACCAGAGGCCTCGTCCCTCTTCTCAGCCTTTGGAGACCACCTCCCAGCTAATAGAGGCAGGAGTTGCAGTTTTTAAAAGTTTGTTTAAAACTATTTATTGGTGTGTGTGTGTGTGTGTGTGTGTGTGTGTGTGTGTGTGTAGAGGGCACGTAGAGGTCAGAGGATGACTTCATGCAATCAGCACTCTCCTTCCACCTATACCTGGGTTCTGGGTATTGAACTCAGATTGTCAGGCTCCAATGGCAAGTGTTTTACCCACTGAGCCATCTCACCAGACCAGACACTGGCTGTGTTCTTACACACTGAGGAAGAGACAAAACAGAAAGAAGGGGCAGGCCCGGGACTCAGGCCAAGTCCAGTAAGTTAGGACTTGGTCCAAAGGTGCTGGAGAGATTTCATTTTGATTGTCAGCAGAAGAGTCAGCCCAGGAGGCAGAATGTCACACAGCCCTGACAGCCGCTCTGGCTCCACCCACATCGACATGAGGAGAGAGCCTGCCTTCCACAGGGCCTTTCCTCCCCAGCCAGCACCACCCTAATGATCCTTCAAGGTTTGGTTTTATGACCACCAAGTGCTTTGACTCCAGAGCCCTTATACATCCTGGACTTTAATCATCTCTAATATTTAAATATTGCAAACTTTCTTCTTTTTTTTTTCTCTTTCAGTAGACTGTAAATTCCTTAAGGACACCGGTCTCTCAGCTGCGTGTTGCACACCGCTGTCCAAGACCAATGATAATTGCCTGGAATGATTGGCAGGGCTTAAAGGAGATGACTCAGCCCAAACTATGGGGAACTTTAAAATTAGAATTAATTTTTAAATTGGAACACTCATTTGATCTAGAAGTTACTTTTGATGTTCAGAAAGCTGCTTTCTTTATTCAACGCATCAGGTTGCTTAAACGGTTTCCCAAGCTATTACTATTTTTCCTCAGATCCTCAGCAAACTAAAGTAATGAAGCTTAATGTCTGGGGCTGGAGAGATGGCTCAGTGGTTAAGGGCACTGACTGCTCTTCCAGAGGGCCCAGGTCTGGCTTCCAGTACTTCCCCCACCCGGACCGTGTCAAGGAACCTCACAACCTTGTGTAACTCCAGTTCCAGGGAATCAAAACCCTCTTCCAACCCTTGTGGGTCCCTGCACACACATGGTGTGAGTAAGCTCTGACATACATGCACACACACAAGTGCACACATGCACACACACAGACTGAACAGCTAGAGGTTGTTTTCCCAGGCCCAGTGGTGGAAAACCCACCTGTCAGTAGAGCTAGTACCCACCCAACCCCTTTGGCAACTTGAACCTCTTTTGCTGCAGCTGCAAAGTGGGGTTATTCTTCTCTTGTTAGGTCACTGTAACATTTAGCAATGATATACGCATGTGGGATGACTGAGTATCTGGAGCCCATCAGCTATTAACCTGGCAGATGCTTCATTCATAGAGCATATAGTACTGCCAAGAGTGGTAAACTGGAAGTCACTTCCACAACAACACTGAAACTCATTGTTGCGGAGCTTTCACTGATTCAGCCGCTCTCGTTCCTGTGTGACTCTGGTTGATTCTTTCCCACAAGCCTTCTTTTAAAAAAATAAGAATCCAAAAGGCAAATAGCAACTCCTTTTATTATAATTTGCTCAACAAATACCTCTGCGTCTCGGCTACATGATAATTTGAGGGTTCACAAGGATGAGTGAGACGTCTTGGTCATGCCTTTCATGGCTATGCTCTGAAATGGCTACACCTTGGACCTCTGCCTTGCAGTGCCCTTGCGACTCAGAAGAGACCACACTCACGGGAGATGTTTTGTCTGCCACACGTGTACTTACAGTCACAAGGGAGGTGACCTCAGTGACACAGTTTATGTCCAGATGCTATGCAGACTGCATTCTTACGTCTTTCATCTGTTTGAACAGACTTCTGGGACCTTTCTATGATGCTCCTTACTATGGCATGGTGCATATATTAATCATGAATGAAAACTAGTCCACAGCTCTACAGGGAGACAGGCCCTTCACCTGACAGCAAAGAGGAGAGTCTGTTTCCCAGGAAACTCCATATCTTGTCTGCCAGTGAATTTGGGGAAGCACGTAGTTTATTCTGGACAGCATATAGCCCATGCCTTCTTCCAATATCTAAGCATGCAGGAGCCCAGAAACCAAACAGCTCTTTTGATAAAAGGCATCTGCTTCTGTTCTTTTGCCACTGCCAGGGAACTGTCATTGCTAACAGTTCATAATTCTATCAGGAAAGGTTAAAAAAAAGTAGAAGTCTCATAGTTATACAAGATCCTGACAACTGAGAATCAAGCCCACTCAACTGTCAATGTCAAGTCCGTGCATATTATAACTGACCAGTTCCTCATGTCACCTGCTATACACAGACACAGTGCTTGACAGGCACAAAGAAAATGCAAACAGGGAGGAAAATATATCCCTGAACCTCCCTCTCTCCTCAATACCATCCTGACTGCTCTCTCTGGTGCCTGAGAGAGGCCAAGGTTATACCATGAGATGTCTCTTGGGAAAGCTTCTTGTTCCCTTTGGATCACGGGAAGAATTACAGCTTTGCTGCAAGAGCCAATGATGCCTGGGTTTAATAGGCAGCTTTCTATACAGCATAAATAATAGGTCACGTCTATTTGCCTGTTTGAGTGTGCTACGAGTGTATGTTGTCTCACACACCCAGAGGAGATCTTAATTAAAGCCTAATTATGTACCATAAATATGTTTTATTTTGGAGGTGGGATTTTTTTTTTCGATTTTAGGAAATGCAAAGCCTAATAAGTAGGCAGGAAAGGGAACTGTAAATACCAACTGTGCCCTTTAATTTGTCCCTCCTCAGCATGGTCCTGGCTGGATTTCTCCATTTCAGAGTGTATGCTTTCAGAATCACCGGCCTGGTGTCACCCTCTCGGGGTAGCCTTGGCCAAAGGTATCTATCGCCAGACTCAGAAGAGCCGGCTGGGTTTGTGATGGTGATGTCCCAAAGAGTGTCCGACACAAGAGTTCAGAAATCAGAGGCATCTCCAGAGAGGATGGGATTTTATTGGTCATACACTCCTTTATCACTAGTGGATGTTCATCTCAAGGGACGTGTAAGCGCTGTCTCCTCTTCCTGCTCCCTGTACACCACACCTCCTGGTGTTGCTCTGGCCCTGCTCCTGTTCACTTGCTTTCTGCTCTCCCCTTCTCCCTGACTCTTCTGTGCTGTGTGCCTTGCCAGGGGTGACTTACCACACGAGGTAAATTTTACTGGGCCTTCTGGGGCCAGGTAGGCACAGCACAGGGGTCTCAGCTGGAGTCGGTTGGGAGACAGGGAAATAGCAGAGGGATGCTGGAGACCCAGGCAAGGGACGTGGTGGGGATGACGATGGGCTGGTATAGGTGGGAAAGACGACAGGAGGAAGGGAAGGAGAAGGGCTCCGGGCCCTTGGGGAGGCAGGTGGAACTAGTGGCAGGAGGAGGCAGCAGTAATTGGTATTGGGCTGCAGGGTGGGGGAGAAAGCAAAGACGGAGCAGTAAGGGGAATATTCAACACAGAACAGGGGGTGCTCGCTGCTGTCACCTGCACAAAAGAAAAAGAGCAATCAGGAAGCAGCATTCACGGGAAAAGGACATTTAAAAAATCTGTGAATGAATAAAAACTCCAAAAAAGGGTTCTTTGGGGGTGGGAGTGATGTGTCTGGGTGTCATAGGTGCAAGTGGACCTGGCCTCTGCCCAGGAGGCATCTTGCTCAGGTTTGAGTCATACAGGAGTGACCCACTCAAAGTGGCATCACCTTCAAACCATTCTCCAGGCAATCATCTCATGCAGCCCTGGCAGATGTAGGGAAGTGCTTCCCAGGCAAGCTCCTCAGAACGTCCTGAGGCAGCCATGTGGAAGCTACGGCTGTGTTCTTATCTCCCACAGCCAACCTAACGAGCTGTTCTGGCAGCAACAGATGGTGGTCTGCAGGGTCTCCCTTCCAGTGAGTTCTCTCCCCTGGTTCTCCAGCTGCCCCCCTGGTAGGAGGCTATGGTCATGCCCCAACCTGGCCTTTCTGCTGCAGAGGGTTAGCTGGGGAAAGGAGAAAGAAGCAGAGAGACCCTGTGGTGGGCTTACGGGGACAGAGGAGAACCAAGAGCATGGGGGAGGGGGGGTGGGGCGGCAGGTGGACCAGAGAGGTGTTAGAGGGAAATTAATGACTTGTTGATTAACCTTCCACTTTAACTGCCAACCTCCCTGGAGGCAGAGTGTGTATGCCGGATGGAGTCAGCATTCTGAGTGACACCCTCATGCCTGCTACCAGCAGCTAGGTCACCTTCAACTGATGGCTTACATTCTCTGAACATGTTTCCTCATCTACAGTATGAGGCAGGTGATTTCTACTGTCTGTACCCTGGCTCCTCCCTAGGGCAGCTCTGTGAACACTGTGCCACCGAACTGTCTTAGAAATACAGTCTCAGCTCACCCAAATCTGTGGAATCGGAAGCTAAGTTTTAGCATTTGGTAAGCAAGCCTGGGGGAAGGATGCCTAAGCCACTGTCCTGAGTCTCCTCTGTGTACACTGCTCAGGACAGTACTGAGGTCCCCCCCCCATTCAAATGCTTCTAGGGTTTGGATTGGAGCCCCGTAAAGGCCTGGGTGTTGATAGTTTAGGGCTTAGGATGGTGCTACTGGGAGGCAGAGCTTGTGGGAGGTTCCTAGGTCATTGGAAGTATGTTCTCAAAGGGAGATGGTGGGACCTGGGTCCCTTCCTCTTTTGTTTCCTGACCATGTCCCAAAATCTGCTCCTGCTGTGATTTGTGACTTCGTTGAAGGCCCTAGAGCAGGTCCATATAATCTTGGGCTGGAACCTCTATGAGCCAAAAATGAATTTTGTAAACTTAAAAAAAAGAAAACCAAAACTGTTTACTCTGTGCGTGTGTGTGTGTGTGTGTGTGTGTGTGTGTATGTATACGCACGCATGTGCGCTTGTGTGCATAGGTCAGACGACACCTCGGAGGAATCAGTTTTCTCCTCCCACCGTCTGGGTCCTTGGGATTGAACTCAGGTCGTCAGGCTTGGTGCAAGTTCTCTTACCCCACTGAGCTGTCTCACAGCCCCATGAGTAAGTACTGTATAGGTCAGCTACCTCAGGTATTTCTTTATAATGATGTGAAGCTAACAGTGAGGCACCTCCCCAGTGAACAAGAGCCAGACAGCTCTGTGAAGTAAGGCAGCTACAAGCAGTTCTGATTCAAACTGAATGATGCAAACTAACCATCTGATAGGGAACATCACCTGCAGTGGAGCCTCAGTCCGGTGGGGGCTCAAGAGCGCCCTGCTCAGAGGATCCACGTACACACTGTCTAACCCTGAAGGTCTCCTGGAGCAGTTTGGAACTCTCACATTTTCCTCTGTGTGGAGTTGTCATCTAGTCTTCCTTTAACTGTCCTCTGTCACCCCTGTGCTTGCAGCTTCAGTCACCACTTGCTTCCTAAGGTCCTTGGGGTCCTACTAGCACTGGGCAGTGTTCTCATTAGACCTGGACACCCAGAGGCTTCCTGGCCTTTCCACCTAGTCGCCCAACATCTCCCTGAGGTGTAGCTAGCACCCAGGGACTTAACTCTCCTCTCTACTTGCTAAAGTAAGTAGGCAATACTGCAACTCCACCTAACAGATGAGGATGCCGAGTTCCAGCTTAACGTTTGTAAGACTCTCAAGCCAAGCTGGCATTCTGAGCCATGACGTCATATAATCAGCAATAATGGACTGAAAATTATGATGCTCTCTATAAAGCCAGGAGGATTCACTTATATTGTTTTCGTTTTTTTCTGGCTGGGATGGGCAGCTTGGAAAGTCTCCGGGCGTCAGCTGGACTTGCCGAGAAACCCATTAACCATGGCCTTTCTGAGAAAATCTTCAAGAGCATTTACTTGCAAGGCAAATGATGAAGATTTAGAATTTGCCCTGAGATTCCTCTTCCACGCTGCTCTTTAAATAAACATTTCCTAATCCAAAAGCAACCACAGCTATTTCAGACTTTTATCTTTTAAAACCTGAATTCACTGCTTTCGCTGAGTTTTACAAGAACAAGCCTTCGAGATAAGTCCTGATAAGGCCACGGGGACCTCGCTCCTCCTACGAATCCGAGTCTGGTAATGACTACACATCGAACTTAATAAGAAACGAGGAGCATTTGCGAACACTTGGCTTTGTTGTAAAGGGCAAGATTTTGGAAGCGGGCTCCCAGGACTGCATCCAGATCCATTTTCCTGGAACATAACTAGAGGAGGCTCTGCCTAGGCGCCAGGTGAAAACAGAGCAGGCAACGGTTCAGTGGCGGCCTAAGGCCTGGCCCTGGGATAGAGAGTGATACAGGAGTCCAGGCGCCATAACCCCCTTGTCACAGTGACCTTTGGATGCCTTTGTATGTCCTGGGAAGGAGACACAACTCCTTTCCAAGCCAGGCTGGGCTGAGAAAGGTCTTGGGAGCAAACAGGTCTTGGAAGCCCCACAGTGTCCCCATGGTCCCTGCACCCTGTGCTTCCTGGGTCTGCTGATTGCTCTGTGTCTGATGGAGTTCCAAGCTGTTATGCAACCCTGCCAGGCTCATATCCATTCTACACCAGAGTTCACCTTGAAGGACTGTTGACTCTGTTGCATGGCAGACCCAGCTGTCTTGACACACGGCCTAAACTTTCCATGTCTTGTTAGAGAAAATGAGTATCTCTGGCTTGGGGAACAATGTCTGATTAGCTGACTTTTCCTATTGGTGATTTTGCTGTGGAAGTCCAGAATGTGGTAAAAGTGTATGCGAGAGATTAGTGTTTTTCTTTTAGACTTATCTATTTTTATATGTATGAGTGTTTCGCCCATATGCACACCATGCGCAAGCCTGGTGCCTAAAGAGGCCAGTAGAGGGCGTTGGAGCTCCTGGAACCCCACTTATGGATGATTGTGAGCCACAGTGTAGGTGCTGGCTTCGAACCGGGGTCCTCTGCAAGAGTAGCAGGTGCTTTTAACCACTGAGCCACCTCTCCAGCCCCGTGAGAGTGTTTTGAGCATACACCTCTAATTTCTGTGAAGAAAATAAATGTGTACAGGGAGGAGAGGGCAAACTGTAGGGACAGAAAAGGAAGTTTTTGAATCTGTACTCCTTACCATAGACTCTCCTGGGCTAGATAATAGAATGCCACAACCTATTGAGTGGCCTGCGCTGCTTGAGAGATGAGCACATACCTATCACTGAGTCTTTACACTTTTATCCAGCAGACAGATTCCCATTTTATCACCGGTCCCTCCATTTTACAGGTGACAAAATCGAGGAACAGAGAAATTCCTTGCCAAAAGATACATAGTTTCTAAGAAATGGGGCCCGGGTGAGCATCCAAGAGTTTGGTCTCCAAAGCATGGTCCCATAAGTAGCAGTCACCACCATCCGGAGAGTGCTGGCTTGGGCAGCCAGTCCTGTCCTGCTCCTAACTCTATGGGTCTTGAGTGCTGCCTGGAACATAACAGGATGATAAAGATAGTGGCTGGAAAATGTGTTTTGCTCCAAGTCACATCTCCTGTGTGGTGAGAAAGTTATCCTGTTGCCAACATGGGACTCTTGTCTAAACCTTGGTGCTCTTTAGCCTGATAATTCTTCAAGTTTGATGGTTTGTAGACTGGAAAGTGAATTCATTCTCTGTTTGTCAGTGTGTTGTGAGTTGCACATGGAGCTTGCTCAGTCTAAAAAAAATCTGTATTATTAATCGGACAAACCAAATTCAGAGTGGACCTCAAAGGTTCATTTTAATGACTTTTCTCCACAGATGACAAAGCATCAGCTGCCATGTTCCAGTGAGAAGGCTAAATGTTACACTGAATGGAGTTGCATGATTTGAGCTTACCCTCAGAGTATAGAGATCAAAATCCAATCTTAATTCATATTTGTGGAGTGACCTCAGGTGTTCTATTCTGGCCTTAGGATAGTTGAATTAAAAGCCTAATTCCTACTAGAAATCTTTAAAATGAGGAATTTAACTTGGACACACACACACACACACACACACACACACACACACACACAAGCCCACCTTAAATAATAGCCAGCTGGTGTGGTAGCAGTCTGTACAGCATGCTGAAAGGGAAAACTGAAAGTAAACGCAGCCCTGAACCTCTCACTCTACATCTTGCAGGCATGGTTAGGCAGACCTGTAGCCAGCCCCTAAGCAGGCATGGCTACCACCCCCACCACCATTATGAAATAAGGAGCAGAAGTTGGCGCTTTGCCCAAGAGGACAACACTTTAGAAAGTCAATTTGGTCTTGACTTCATTAAAGCAAGAAAATGTGGGTGGTTAATCTGAGTGAAAGATGCCATTTCCCACAAATGTATTGGATTTAAGCAGACCGGTGGTTGCATGACAGCAGCCATTGAGGATTAGGAAGAAACTGCGATGGGATTGTAATGAACCACGTGACATTTGCTATTTCCCAGTTCTTCAGCAGTTAGTTTGGCCCTTTTCCCAGGAGGCAGGCCTTTCTGCCTAGTTACCCCAATGTATGTGTGGTTCCCAGAGGACACAATTTTGTCCCACAGATGTTGGTGTTGATGGGACAGGACGAGCCTGAGGCAGTCTAATCTTTGGGTTGATTTTAGCTTCTATGAGTCTCTCTTGCCCCAAGAAGACTGTCTGAGCTTCAAAGACAGCCTGAGAGTGAGTTATTTACCAAACCACACAAAAAGGGGATTCATCAAGTTTTCTTTCTCCCTGAGAGGGCATCCCCAGGACTGGAGGACTTTATTACTCTCGGGCTGTAAATTATGTCACTCAGATGCTTCTGAAAGCTCCCCTTGGCTTAGTCATAAAACTTGATACCTGGGGCCAAAGCCTTTATCCACCCCCCTACCCCCTTCACCCCCATTCTCCACCACCCTAGAACTGTGACAAAGATGAAAAGGCAGCATTTGTAAGCAGTGGCACAGGAAGTGGAGAAATGGGCCTGAAGATATGGGCACCTATTCTACTGCAAGATTAATTTTGCCATTTGCTCAGGTTCATTGGCCTCCCAAGACCTAAACCACTTAGGATTAGAGAATCCCACCTGCTTGTCGTGATCGTTAAGACTAGGATGTTACATGTGGATTTCAATAAGGAAGCCACTCACCTGAGGAGGGTTTGCTGGGGCTCACTTTATCTGGCTTCTTTGGTGTCATAGTACTTTTGTGTTTCTGCTTGACTGGTGTTTGATCAATGGCTGGAAGTCTGGGCTCACACTTACATATCTTGGTAGATGTTCGTGGTTCACTTAAAGAATCCTCCTCACTGGAACTCTGTGGAAAATGGAAGATGTGTGAATCTCAGAGGCTGGGTCAAGCACCTTTGCTAAGCACAGAAACAGGAGAGGCAGATGCATTGGGCCCTCCAGGACAGCTCAGACAAATCTTGTGTTTGTCGCTCAGCTCCATCTATGGTCGGGGAGATTTTGATGGATTGGGAAGAGCAGCTTCGACATAACAGCAACATATTGAAGAGACTGCATTTCTGAGTCTGTTCTTGGGGCGTATTATGACAAGAATATGTTTCTGACCCTTAAGTAATTTGATGACCCATAAATAGTTTGTGCTTAAAGCTATATATTAAAGGAGGTGCTTTTAAATCCGTGCTTTTAACTTGTTTGCTATTTGAGATTTGAACTGTTTTGAGGATGGATGAAGGAAAATGTTCCTTATGCTAATTCATGTGTTTGACAATGAAAAGAAAATTTAGATCGTGTAGCTTGGATTTATTGAATCAGATTGGAGTTTCAATATTCCAAATTATTGCACAAGACGGATGAATCTAAGAAGTCCCCTCTGTCTTCTAAAAACAAGTCATTATAAACCCACACAAGGACAAGTCATAATTCCTGTAGTGTCAAAACATCTCAGCCTAGGAGTACAGATGCAATAAAAATTATCCAAGCATTCAACAGTTTTACACTTTGCCACACTTATTGCCATCAAAGAAATGATGCAAACACTATAAATGACAGTCAAGACCCTGGCCTCCAAGGGTGATTTAAGTACAGCCTTGTGGCTTCAGGTCCTGGCACCAGCAAGCTTTTCGAGGGCCATCCCTTCTTCTACAAGCACAATCCAAAGGGTTTTTTCTCACCTTTGGGTCTCAGGAGGTTCTCCTGCATGGCGCGTTAGTCCAGCACTAGAAACTCCTGTGAAAATTCGACCCTTCTCAGGATGCAATGCCAAATTAACGCCCCTGGAACTGCCCTAGCTGCTGCACTTCCTGCTCATCTTGCTCCTCGTTCTTGATGACAGTTGTGGCATTTTCACCTCGCCGGCTCCTGACTCAGGAAAATATGCTGAATAGCTTTGAATTATTGGGTGCAATGTAAGACAAATGGAACTCTGAAGAAAAAAAAAATCCCCGCTTGTCAGACTTCCGGGCAGAAGTCTACATATCCACAGGTGGACAGATCATTATTTTCCATGAGAATAAATCTTGTTTTTAAATTTAGGTTTTGTATATAGCTTTCAAACAAATAATTATTGTTACTCCATCCATTTTCCGAAAACAGACCACCCTCAGATAAAGGGACAGGCAGAGGAGACATAGTGAGTCTCTGTTCTCCCATTCAATTCTGTGACTTAATAGAAATCTTGGGAAATGATTCTGAAATGTCAAAGATGGATCATGAGGTCATTTCTGAGCATGAGATGAGCTCTCTATTCTCAGCAAAGTGGGTGTTTGGCAAACTTTAATTCTGATGCTGGAGACTGTCATTATGATTGGGTGATGGAAGCCAGACTCATGGATTTGGATTCCCTAAAGAGTACCAGGCAGCCTGGGACAGACTTTCTTCCCCAAACTGCCTGTGAGCTGACAAGTCCACTCACACAAGGCCTCGTACTTTAGACCATATTTTCCAGCCTGCAGCAAAGGAACAGTGTGGCTCAATCTAAGACTTCTGGATCTGCCCCTGTCACTCCCAGCCAGGCTGGAACTCCTTGCTTGCCCCAGGCAGTTGGGAGGATATGGTAAAGGGCTCTTTATTGGGTAGCTGTTTGTCCCTCCTCTACCCATTTACTATGTGTCTGTTCTTTAGTAGCCCTGAAGCTGAGACAGTTTGACCACGTAACCTGTCAAGCAGGACTGTGCTCCTGGGGGCTAAGTACATCCTTCTCTGGTTTCTGGTCCCATGCCCTTTTACTGCCAGGTGGGCTTTGTTCTTCAGAGTTCAGAAACTGCCCCCTAGAAGGGGGTGTTTCTCGTTGATTGGAAATAGAAGGTACAACATGGGGCCTGAGATACTCACGGTGCACTAACAGACCTTTTCCTCTTGTCTCACTGAGCAATCTCAAACTTGTCCCTTCTGCATTTAAATTTACTTTTTAAATCTTTTGGTCTTTGGTAATGTCCCTTCAGACCCTTAGCCATTCTCACCTGGCTCCTCTCATGAAAACCCACTGGGCATCCATCATGTAGGCCAGAGAGAGTGTGAGAGACTGTAGGGACTCATTCTGGCACTAACGTGTGGCATTTAAAACTCTGGGGCTCCTGGGCAGTGGACCTGGTTCTTAGGGCCAGTAACCGTTTGACTCAGGGCAAGTTTTCCTTAGTTTGTTGGTTAGTATTATTTTCCCATTCCTTGGATTTCCTCATCTGTGAACAACAGTATCTACATTTGGTGGTTTCCTGATGATCAAGTGAGACAAGACAGGCATGCACACTTATCATGACACTGCACTCACATCCCACAGTGTCCTGTGTCAGCTTTCAGGCTTTGTCAATCACTTTCCCACACTTTCGGAATTAGCTAACTCCTGGACATCTGCTACCACAGTGAAACCAAAGCCGAGGGCCCCATGAAAGTAATCCTATTGGACGGATGCCTCCCAATCCAGAGTGTGTGGACAGAGAGGGGCAGGGTCAGTTCCTATGCGGCACTCTGGTATCTTCCACAGACCATAGAATGTATGGCAGTCATATGATAGTCATGCTAGCCAGCTGAGACTTATCCGGTCTTAAGAAATTATGGCCAAAGTTCTAATGGCAAATATTTAACAATATCTGGAGATTATCAAATCAACACTAACGTTTTTTTTAATGTTAGGTGGAGTTCAGATCTGTCTTTTCCTGTTATAATTTTGAAATTCATAGTTTCCATTTCTTCTCCGTATGTTCCTAAGTTGAAATTGTCACATGACAGTGGAGGCAGCAGCCCACTGCTGTATTATTCTGGAAGCAGAAAACCAGCTCTGCCTTTCCAAGTCAAAAGCCCAAAACACTGCAACAAAAACCCAGCCTGTGTGGGTATAAAACAAACAAACAAAGACTATAACAAAACCCCGCCTATGTGACTGTATAACAAACAAACAAAGACTATAACAAAAACCAAGATGTGTTCTCAGAAAAGTTGTGCTAATTCAAATTTATTGCCAAGATTACCTTTTTTTCTGAAGTATTATTAACTGTGGACTTAAGGTTTTCCAAGAACTCCCTAGTTTGCTCTTTTATCGTCACACATAATAAAGTAGATTGTAGAAGATTACAGAGCAGTGATTCTCAACCTGTGAGTTGCAACCCCTTGGAGTCACACATTAGGTATCTTGCATGTCATATATTTACAGTATGATTCAAAGCAGTAGCAAAAATACAGTTATGAAGTAACAATGAAAATAATTTTATGGTTGGGGTCACCACAACATGAGGAACTGTATTAAAGGGTTGCAGCATTAGGAAGTTTGAGAACCACTGGTCCAGAGAAAGGCTCTCAATGGGACTTATTTAATTAGGAAAGGTTAGTGCCAGGCAATGGGGAACAACTTAGTAACTGTTTTTAAAATTTCCCCTAGTTTTCTCTCCTCTCTCCTCTCTCTCTCTCTCTCTCTCCCGCACCAATCTCTACTGTGTCAGAAGATCCACTTAGATCAGCACATGACAAAATCTGGCTTGGTGTGAATCCATCAGCCCTCTTCCCTCCACTACAGGAGGGATGAGGGGGTGGACAAGTGAAAACCAATTTCCTGGGTCTTGGAAAGGAGCCATCAGGCAAGAGTTGGAAAATAACGTCAAGGCTTTTCTGTCCCTGACTACTTGAGTCTATGCATCTTCAAATCACCTGTTTGTTGTCACCTTACTTCACGTCCAATAATACTAGGTACAGGTTTTTAGTCTCTCTTGCATTCTGGGGGAAATGCCTTCCCATTCTTCACCTGTCCTGGTGTCTCCACCTTCCAGGAGCTCTGACTTGAAACCTTCAAAATGTTGCCAAGTTAGAACTAGGGGTGGAGCTCAGTGGTAGAGCTGCTTGGCCAGAACACCCCCAGGCCCAGCATGGGGGAGAGGGAGGAAAGGGAGAGGAAGAGGGAGAGGGAGAGGGAGAGGGAGAGGGAGAGGGAGGAAGGGAGAGAGGGAGGGACAGGCTAGTCAAAAAGCAAGAGAGAGAGAGAGAGAGAGAGAGAGAGAGAGAGAGAGAGAGAGAGAGAGACTGTGTGTCTCTTATGTTGGGAATAAATTCAGTATCAGGAGATTATGAAAAGCTGCCGTCAAGGCAATGAACCTTGACAGTCAACAGGGACAACACATGAAAGTTGACCAGGAGACTGTGTGCACAAATGAGTGTCTTCAGAGAGCTTGTCCCCAAGGTCTGCATAAAATTGTGCCTCATGCATAAAAAGCCATGTCTGGGAATTGAGGGTCGCTTTGTATAAACAGATTTATGGATGGGATGTAGACATTTGCATACAAGTAAATAAAAACATGCTCTATGCTGGATGTTGTTACCATAGGAGGCAGGCTGAACTTTATCTTGTGCAGAGAAAAAAAAAAAGTGTAAGACCACTAAGTATTTCCTGTGCATTCAGGACATTTTGAGGTCATTACTTGAAATGACCACTACTACCATCCTCACCATCCTCACCATCACCACTACCACCACCATCATGACCATCACCACCACCATCACCACCACCATCACCACCATCACCACCATCACCATCACCACCATCACCACCATGACCATCATCACCACCATCACCACCACCAACACCACCATCACTACCAACACCATTGCCATCGCCATCGCCATCACCATCACCACTACCACTGTCACGTCACCGTCACCGTCACCACCATCACCACCACCACCACTGAGGTGGGTGGTGGGTGTGCTGCCACGGCTTGAAAGTGGAGACAGACTTTGTGGTATCACTTTGTTCCTTCCACTGTAGATTCCAGGAACAGAACTCAGATTTTCCAAGCATTTGTGCAAGTGCTTTTACCCACTGAGCCATCTCCTTATCATTCAATATTCTGGTTTTGAATAGTTTCA